GATAGCTGAGCTGTGTGTCCCTAATAAGTACGTAGGAAGACGGCGGCGGCCGCCGCTCTTGTCGGTGCCGCAAGCGCGCACCGACTTGCTACAGCACGCGCCTTTAACGCGCGCGCTGCGTGCACTTAACGTGGTCTCACAACACACTGATTTGTTCAGCTGTAATCTGAACGAATTTACAAAGGCCGCTTATTGTAAAATATCTTTAAGTTGTGCATAATATACCTATATTATGTTTGTTCTAGTTTATTAGTTTGTAACTGCACTATTGTATTAGGTAATGCACCTATGATGATAGTTGTAAGTGGTAAAATAAATAAATAAATACATAAAATAAAAAAATAAATAAATAAATGTATTATATGGTTACTAGTATAAACATCGCAATTTTATGAAATGCGCTTTAGTAAAATGGCTATTATATAAATACTTCACGTATATATACCAGATATATGCATAGCCCATATTATGAAAATTCTGCAGAAATGTTACTGAAAATTTTAAGAAGAATACAGCATATATATATATATATATATATATATATATATATATATATATATGATCAGTCAATAATATCACTATATGTGCATACTAGTACCACTACAGGGCATTACTGTTAAGACGACACATCGAAAACGCTATCGGCGTACTGATCCGAGTGAATACATAATTTCTATAAACACTTGAAGAAACGCCGTCATAAGGTCTAAAATTGCGTAGCACCCGCGACGATTAAAAGCGATTAGAAATTGTCAGAATCTTCAAATATTTTTTAAAAAATTATTGATTTAAGTTATCAAAATAATGAGCAAGTAAATTATGAATATATTTGAGTGATTCCCAAGCATATAGATTAAATGATTTCGTTGTAATTTCAACTATTGTGATTTTAGAGGTGTTTTCGCAAATAATTATGATCGAGTCAAAATTATGCAACCGTGTTTTTGAGCAATTAAATTCAAGATAAAGACATGAATTTACCTATATCAAAATCCCACTTTCGTTAGTGGTGTCATAGTCCTATACTATTCGATGAAAGGAGGTGCATTTTTTCACGGTGTTGCCTTAAGAATAAAGAATAATTATTATTCTAAACACACTGAAATAGTAAATGAAAAGCTTCAAGGCCAGGTGGTAGTTTTCCAGCACATGTTGACAAGACTCGTTATTTAAGGCACCGTTAACCTTTACATAACATCTTAAATTGATACAAATTCCATTAAATCAGCTTACGTAGGCGAAATTTGCATAAATATTAAATATGGAATTATATTTGACGTGGGGCCTTGTATTTGGTTTTCGTTTACTAATACAAAATGACAAAATTTTAAAATTCGATAGCTTTTTTTAATAGAATAGAGATGGCAAACGAATACACCTGACGGTAAGTTGACAGTGTGGCCCATAGATATCTAAATTTATCCTCGATTAAGAATTAAAATCCAGATGCGTTGTCACCCGTAAGGACCAAAATGGAATGCCTCGTTTCCAGTAGATACAATGGTCTCCTGTTCTCTACACTCACTATACGAAACACAGTAATATTAAACTACTTTGTTACACTGGTATTCTGTAAAAGTGTGGCCCTTCCCTGGTCGAGCCTATCCATTGGTGCTACATTCATATTATGGCTACAACATAGCTCTATAACGTATTAAATATGTATGTTATAATTACAGATACATCTTTAGAACTAGTCGGCGGTTTATCGGCACCTCACTTTGGAAAGTTCTCCTTTATACATAGAGATCTTAAATGTCATTAGGTTCAGCATATTTAATTGGTTACATTGGAGAGGACACTGTGAAATAGGTAGCTGAATATGCTTTTCAGGTCGCTATTTAAAGTAATTTACTATAGTAAATTCAGACACACTTTTGCAAGAAATATAGAGATGCCATGCGAATCTCTTTGATAGGTAGGCGTAGAGCCAGAAGAGTGAAGTCAAACATTCAGTATTGTAGGGCCCTTTTTTAAAATGGTGGATGCGAGATTTATTTTTTGTTGTATAGTTGCGACGTAATAGATTTCTCCTTTTCATTTTGTGAGTGTTGTTAGGGCCACTTTAAAATGAAAAAGGCTTCCGATTGATAATTACATAGTCTTTCTACTTAAGCTAGAAGTAAAGGAAGGACCTGCACCGGTGGCTGCCACTGCCACATTTGTTAAGGAAGGACCTGCACCGGTGGCTGCCACTGCCACATTTGTAAAGGAAGTACCTGCACGGTGGCTGCGATGCATTAAAGGGTGGGAGCCACTGCCACATTTGTTAAGGAAGGACCTGCACCGGTGGCTGCCACTGCCACATTTGCACAAGGCTGGAGGGCTACGAGTGTACCTACGCGAACTTTTACACGTTCATGAAGTATACGAGTACGAGTATGAAGACTTGTAGCGCAAAGTTATTAATTATTGAGCGTCGATCATAAAATTTCTTTTATTGCCTCGATGTGTTGTATGCTTGGAAAAATAAATCTTGGTTGATTGAGATGAATTTACTATATGGTCACTGTTTTTAATTTTGATTTATACAATATTATTAAAATTAAATTGTGTAAATTTAGTAAAGTTGTAAGCTATAGTAAATAATATTGGCTAGTGACGCTTACTTTAAGGTATAAATGAGGGTAAATCTAAGAAAAGGACAATACCTTCTACGTGGTCGCGACTACTCTTCAAGGCAGTTTCATTTTTTTTGTAGGTTAGGGTGACAAACGAGGATACAGTCTACCTGATGGTAAGTGGATGCTGCGGTCCATAGACATCTACATCTATCTTCGATTACAAATCAAAATGCAGATGCGTTGTCACCCGTGAGGACTAAAATGAAATGCCTCGTTTCCAGTAAAAGGGTCTCCGGTTCTCTACACTCACCATACGAAATACAGCAGCATTATGCTACTATTTCACGCTGGTATTCTGTGAGAGCGTGGTCCTTCCTCGGTAGAGCCGACCCATTCGTGTATTTCCTAATAATATAACAAAGTAAACCTTAGCGATGTTGAATTACTTCTCTTTTAGATAAAAGATGCGATGATTGATTCTTCATAACAGTATATTTTCTTATTTATACACAGTCTGTTCTTAATTTGCTTTGAAAACGTTAGCGGTTGGTAACACGCACACATACTCAGTAATATGTTCTTTTTCTTCATATAGTACGAGAAGGGAAAAACTCTTTTTAAGCATATTGCGCGCGTTGAGGAGTGCGAGAGTTGACAGAGTCAAAGTTTATAAGCAGAAAGTAAAATTTTATTTATAATATGAGTTACAAATATATTAGGTAAATTAAATTTTAATAATACTGTCAGTATGAAACACATAATAATCTGTGGTGAAACAGTCCCACAGTGTAGAGATAAGATAACAAATAATTAGCACTTAATTTTGCGCTATTCGAAATGTTCTTTTTTTAAAGTCTGAGGAGTGTATGTGAAGGCACAATGAGTTTATTTTATATGTTGTATAAAGACACCAGTATTTTAATATGCAGTTGAAAGTGTCCTACAGCTTGCTTGTTATAAAACTTAAAAATTTTATGAATAACGGTTGTGCTTTGACCACAACGACCATTAATAATATATATAATAAACAGAAAAACTAAATCAAGAAAAAAAAAACAAATCATTCAAATCCCGTAGAAACAAATATTAGTGTCTGCAATACGTATGAAGGTTTTCGAAACTAGTTTGATTATAAATTGTATTATTAACTCTTATTTTTTATTGATTGCCATTATTTGTTAACACTGCTCGTCTAACAGGCAATTTTTTTCGTAATTTTAGAATTACATTGGACACACATTTTTCAATGGATCATCATCATCATCATCATCATTACAGCCCTTCACAAGTCCACTGCTGAACATAGGCCTCCCCCAAGTAATGCCACAAAGCACGGTCCTGAGCCACCTGCATCCATCGACTTCCTGCATGTATTACCAGGTCGTCACTCCATCTAAGTGGGGGGTCGCCCTACACTACGCCTACCGGTACGAGGCTGCCACTCGAGAACCTTTCTTCCCCATCGGTTATCGGTTTCTTCGAGCTATATGGCCGGCCCATTGCCACTTCAGCTTACTAATCCGTTGGGCTATGTCGGTCACTCTGGTTTTACTGCGGATATCCTCATTTCTGAGTCTATCACGCAGTGAAACTCCGAGCATAGATCTCTCCATAGCTCGCTGAGCGACCTTGAGCGTCCTCATACGGCCAGCAGTGAAGGACCACGTGGTTGTGGTCAAAGCACAACCGTTATTCATAAAATTTTTAAGTTTTATAACAAGCAAACTGTAGTTCACTTTCAATGGATGGTTAGTGTTAATTACTAAACATTTTCCTTTGCATTTTGTTGCGCTTATATCGCAATTTTAGTTTTTTTTTTTTTACGTTTTTGCATTACACCTCATAGCGTTAGACGTAATTACATCACAACTTAGTTTTATGTTGTTTAGATATTAAATAATTATTTTAATCGATTTAGTATACTGATTGTGTACCGATTTTCATCCATTTATCTACCACCCCCACTAAGACTACTCCTGGACGAAGATATATCATAATATCTACCATAAATAATCATGAGACTCATTAGGTGGGTAAGTAAGCGCTTTGCTGGGTATTTTATTCAGACCCTGATGAAAGGGACGGAGTCAGACCCAAATAGCATGCCTCAGCTACTGGATAAGTAGTTGTGATGGATGTGCTTCCCCTGGTACGTACCGATACTAGTTTAGTCTTTGTTTGATAGTGGTAGCTTACTATTATACTTATAATTTAAATAAAGTTCACACGAAGTGTTCGTTATAAACTTATAAATATGTTGTTACGAAATAAATTAAGGAAGTACTTAGTATCATGGAAGTTATTTGTTCTTTCAACTGTTATTACCTATACGGGCTTTAGTATACCAAGCTTCCACTTTTAATTAAAGGACCCTAAAACCTTGAACCGTATATGGAGCACAGTGAATTAATATCTATATTTTATAAGTTTACTTACGTTCATATTTCAAAACCTGGTATGACCCTTCGCGGCGCCGTACTCGCAGTAATCATTCAACAATGAAATTGTCACTGATCACAAACTTTCTTTCGACGAGTTTTCTACACCCGCTGTTGTTTATAAACCGGTTCGTGTTCTTGGTCAAGTATAAAATATAACGTACTGACTGTACGAGCGCGCGCTGACGACTGCTGGACTGGCGCGTACGGAACGGAAAAAATAAACTTTCTCAAACGGCCGCGATTTTACGTTCTTTGTTGCCTAGCCAGCGGGTACGCGGACGTTCACATCGTGCAACGTAATTTATCAAATAATTTATTTAAACAACATTGCATATAAAATATTTAGCGGACTTTCTTTGGATATTTATAAAGTTTTTATTAGATAATACAATATTAATATGCGATACGCTTTCCGTACCTAAGACGGGCCTATGAAGCCTATCTAAACAAGAATACCGGTTTTCATCCGTACAGACAGAGCTACTCGGCCTATATATAATTCTAGTATTTCTTTCTTTATAGAATAAGGGTCCTTATGGTAAATAGATGCTGTGACCCATAAACATCTACATCCATCTCCGATTAACAATCAAAATGCAAATGCGTTGTCACCGCTGAGGACTAAAATGAAATGCTTCGTTTTCAGTAAATAGGGTCTTCGGTTCTCTACACTCACCACACGAAACGCAGTAGCGTTAAGCTGCCGTTTTACGCTGGTACTTTGTGAGAGCGTGATCCTTCTCCGGTAGAGGCGCAACATTCGTGCTATAACTATATGGCTGTGGCATGACTTTACCACGTATACAATTTCCATTCCTGATAAGGAATATACTTTACTGATCCTGTAGAATTCATCTTATTCTAGAAGAAGCTATACTGTCAATAAGGTGCTACCTTGGGAAGTTTTCTTAAATATTCCTACTGTTGGCCGTCATTTTATTCATTCTTAGTTGGATTTTTATCGTCTTTTAACTAATAATTTTAACAATAGCTATTCTGCTCAAAATTTTTACACATTTAATAAAGAATGGCAACCCGCCCCGGCTTCGCGCGGGTGATTTTTTTTATAGAAGAGGGGGCAAACGAGCATGCGGCTCACCTAATCGCCGGTGGTAAACAGTGCCACAGAGAGGTCGTACGCGGAAAAAACTCCTTGTGAAACGTACAGTGGTGGACCGCCAAACATCCAGATGGTGTTGATGGTATCGGGACGTTTACCGCGTAGTGCGTTTACGAAATTTGGCGGCTGGGATTAATCCGAACAATTACTCAGAACACTCCCCGTGGTATATGCGAAAGAAAATGCAAAGAGATGCAACATTTCTTCGCAGCGCCAGTGAATCGAGCCGAGTGGTCAAAGTGTCAAAGTCATAAAAAATTCGGTACACCTATAGTACGTATATATATTATAATAATCGTATCTATTTGCGCCGGCGAGGAGTCCCTGAGCTACCATGGCTCTAACTCGACTATGTGAATGTAAATTAACCTATCAGTTCTTAAGTTTATACATTGTAGAGCCATGCTGTAACTATACTAGTAGTATAGTTGTAGCACAGATGGGTCGGCTCGACCGGGGAAGGACCACACTCTCACAGAATACCAGTATAAAATATTAACCTAATAGCAGCCTAAGCAAAATAGCAGCCTAACGCTGTGTTTCGTATGGTAAGTGTAGAGAACCAGAGACCGTTTTTACTGGAAACGGGGCATCCCATCTTAGTTCTAACGGGTGACAACGCATCAGTATTTTGATTCTTAATCGAGTATGGATGTAGATGTCTATGGGCCACAGCAACCATTTACCATCAGGGGACTGTGCATTCGTTTTTCACCCTTATCCTATAAAAAAGTAATTTGTATTGATTTTCCGTGTGTAAAATAAAGATATCCCTTATCTTTGACTTACACACGGAAAATCAACACAGGAAAATTGCTTGCTTAATACAAAACTGGAATGACTCTCGCAATCAACTTTAAACGAACACGGCTACAGATGAGTTATCAGTTCTAAGGACTAAGATGGAATGCTTCGCAGCCCGTAGTTATACTGAGTTATCACGCCTATTGCTCAGTCTGACCACCATTAATTTTTTTAATCGAATAAGGCTGATAAACGAGCACACAATCTATCTGATGGTAAGTGGGTGCAGTGGCTCATAGATGTCGAAGATTCATTGTAGATGTAGAAGAATTGGAAATTTTTTTGCCATCACTCCTGAGGACTAAGATGGAATGCTTCGTTTCTACTAAAAACAGCCTCCAGTTTTTTCAATCACTGTTGAATACCAGGTGATAATTCGGGGAGATTGGAATGAATTAAATTACTGAAATGTAGCAAGCGGGAATTTTAAATAAAAGACCACAACTGCGTACTGATCTCGGAGTTGATCTCCGGTTCGATCTCTGTTATTGAAAATAAAACAACATTGACCTATACAGATTGCGGAAGCCAAACGCTTGCGACTTCTGATTCGACGCCACCGCCATCTATCGAAGACGCTGGATGCTTTACAAAATGTAAAGTCGCAAACACTCACCATACGAAACATGGCAGCATTAAGCTGCTCTTTTACACAGATATTCTGTGAAAGCGTGTTCCTCCCCCGGGCGAGCCGACCCATTCTTGCTACAACTATATAGCTGCAGCATAGCTCTACCACGTATAAAACTGAAGGAAAACTGATATTTATTTTTATTATATATGCGAATCAGCTTTATATCTAATATTATTCCTTAATTGTTTGTCATTTACTCGTTAAAAATCGACATTGTTGTCTTATTAATGTATTGTAGTATAATGTACGTACGTAGTGCATATTGTTTCAATGTTTTTGTGGGTAATGATTTATTAAATTTACACGAACACTACACATTGAATAAAACTATATTTACGGATTTTATCGCGTTTAATTAACTATTTTAACTTATTTTTAATTCCCGACGTTTCGGGTGCTTTACAGCACCCATGGTCACGGGGGGGACTGAGATGTTTAACGTCGTAATGTCATAGTTAGCCCGACTACTTTCAGTTTTTGAATATTAATTTTTATTCGGATTTACGCAGAATGTGAAGCACCCGAAACATCGAGAATTAAAAATAAGTTAAGATCAACAAAATCTGTAAATGTATTTTTATTCAAAGTTTTTGTAAGTGTTTTTTTTTTCGTGGTTGGCTTTGAGATTTTAACTGTAACTTTTATTTCTTATTGCGACATTCTACAGAGGCTACAGATGAGTTATTAAACCTGAGGACGTTACCATGACTCTTGCTGAGTCTGAACACCATTAAAATATAATAATATCAAACTTCAATATCCTTATTCCCATTTTCAATTCCGTCGTAATAGCGCCGAGCCTCATCAATCGCAAAGCTTATCTGTGAGCGCTGTCGATTGTCGGCAATCCTTCGAAACCAGGCCGCATGGGAACGTACCCTTTGACAAACAATTTTTTATTTTCATTTGAGCGAACTGATTGCCTTAATCGATCCATTATGCAACGATTTAGGTTAAGTTTATTTACTCCTTTGCGTACAACAGATTTATTGTTTACTAGCGACTAGTCCTGACTTTGCCTGCGTAAGATATATTAATGTGGCATCTTTTAGGTTTAAGATAATCAAATACCATATGTTTTACCTAAATTTCATAAAATATATCCTAGATTATATCCTGGTATTGCTCTCTATCTGTGCGTAAAGTTTCATCACAATCTGTTCAGCCATTTCGAAGATCATCCCACACACACAGACAGGCGTAAATTCTAAAAGTGGTTTATTGTAATTCTTTTGTATAGAATAAGGGTGACAGAAGATCTAAAGGTGACAAAAGTCTGATGGTAAGTCGATACTATGGTCTATAGACATCTACATTTATCCTCGGTTAAGAATTAAAATGCAGATGCATGGCCAGCCTTGAGGAACAAGATGGAATGCCCCGTTTCCAGTAAAAAGGGTCATCGGTTCTCTACACTCACCATACGAAACACAGCACTATTGAACTTGTGACGGTGCTGTCGTCGCGCCGCAAGAGAAACACACCGAAGCCTAAATCACGCTATCAAAATTCCGAATCATAAACAGTATATATAGAACATCTCCGAACTATCACATGGGTTTTGGCCGCTCCCCGGGCAGAACACCTTGCCCGGCGGAAGATCTCCTCTTTTTCTCCCATGGCCACAGTGGTGATCACCCAACGTGATCTGAATACGCAACTAACTACCTTCGGAAACTTCAAGCTTCATCATCGTCATAAAGTACCCCATCCATTCGCTCCCGAGCAGATATCGTCTGCAGTCTTCATATCCTGCAAGCCAGCTAGCTTCACAAGGTTAATCGCAGCACTGGAGTAATAATACTTCCTGTTCCTTCAAGCTACTCTCTGTGCTATACAGTGTTCGGCACGGCTCTGAGCCTTACTGCTCGCCTCTGCTTCACGGCTCTCTCGCAGATTACTTGACTTCTTCTTGACTCACCGCAGACTACAAGGCAATCTCCTAGCACTTGCACATTCGTCCGCAACGAGGCTGCACTATCGACCTCCAGTCTGAGCAGGGGGGTGATGTGGCGGCGCTGTCGTCGCGCCGCTAGCGAAACACACCGAAGCCAGTATATATAGAACATCTCCGATCTATCACATGGAGTGTTGGCTGCTCCCCGGGCAGAACACCTTGCCCGACGGGACATCTCCCTTTTTCCTCACAAGGCCACAAACTGCTGTTTTACGCTGGTGTTCTGTAAGAGCGTGGTCCTTCCCCGGTCGAGCTAACCCATTTGTACTACAACCATAATATATCTGCAGCATGGCTCTACCACGTATAAAACCGTGCAAATAACTCCCTGTGTTTAATAGAAGCCAGTTGTTTCAATATTTCATACAGAAACTTCAACGTTATTTATATGTTGTCGTATAACATAGAAGTATAGATTGAGGAAAATTTATTTAAACGTGTATCTTGTGCACAAACATTGCTTGGTAGAGCCACGTTACGAGTAGATCGGCTCGACTTGGGAAGGACCACTCTCTCACAGATTGCCTGCATGAAATGTTAGCTTAATGTGTTTTGTCTTTGCATGGTGAGTGAAGACAACTGGATGCTCAATCTTAGTCCACAGGAGGGCAATGCGCCTGCTATTTGATATTTAATAGAGTATGCATGTTATGTTCTATTGTCAACAGCATCCACTTACCGAAAGGTACAGTGGGTTCACTAAAATTAATTTTTGTCGGGAAACGCCACAGTTCTGTAAGGAAAATTACTTGATACCTACATATTTCCGTAGGTCAAGTTGTCTCCTTAGCCTGAACGAGGTTAGCCTATCCAAAAATGCTAAACTCAAATTTCACAGATCGTCCATGTTTCTATAGTTGTTTGCGCGATCTTAGAAAGGCCTACGTTCAGCATTATTATTTATTTATTCTGAACAATACAAATTGTTTTGAATAATTCATGCAAAAATACAATTGAAATGCTTAACAACCAAATTTACAATTATATAAAATTACAATAAAAATTTTAAGTCAAATTTCATCTTTATAGATAACATTTAAAGTAAAAAAATATCTGCAGCTTATACTATAAAAAAGATAAGAGGTCTCACTTGTTTTGAGACAAAGATAATTGGGGATTATTTGATTACATCTGGGATATTGCTATGGGGTAATGCGACTGATTTAGAAACTATTTTTGTTTTGCAGAAGAGGAACGCAATAGCTATTTACAACCTAAAGCCGAGAGAGTCTCCCAGAGAAAAATTATAGGTAATAAAATATTTACTTTGGCCTCTCAGTATCCTAACTTAGATTAGCTTTTTCAGATACGTGCAATTTTGACCCTATATTTATATCTGTAAAAGGATAATGGGTACTTTGTTCGATGCAGTTGTTATATAATACAGAATTACTATTGTATTAAAAAGGTATGTAGTAGTCTTTATTTTTCATCTTAAATTCTATAATAATGACAGTATTATTTAATTAATAAATATTTTATTTTTCTTTTGCCAGTCAAAGCCTAATATTAACGGTCTTATCGTCATCGTAATCGTCGTCATCGCCATCGTCATCTTCGTCGTCATCGTCATCGTCAAAATCATCGTAATCGTCATCGTCGTCGTAAACGTCCACGTCATCGTCATTGTCACCGTCATCGTCACCGTCCTCGTCATCGTAATCGTAATCGCCATCGTTATCGTCATCGTCATAGTCATCATCATCGTCATCGTCATCGTCATCGTCATAGTCATAGTCATCGTCAACGTCGTCGTCATCGTCGTCGTCATCGTCATCTTCGTCGTCAACGTCCACGTCATCGTCATCGTCATTATCATCGTCATCATCATCGTCATCGTCGTCGTTATTAACATCGTCATCGTCATCTTCATCGTTACTGTCATCGTCTTCGTCATCTTCATCGTCATCGTCATCGTCGTCGTCATTGTCAATGTCACCGTCATAGTCATCGTCATCGCCATCGTCATCGTCATCGTCCTCATCAAAATGCATTGACCACATCTGGTGTTACTGGATATGAAGACATTGGATATAATCGGACGTAAAAACAAAATTGAGAAATTTGTCAAACACATTTGACAGCTTCTTATACAGTTGTAGTGCCACGCTGTGGTGGCTATAGTTGTAGAACGAGTGGGTCTGCTCGACAAGGGTGCGAGCCCATTCGTGCATAACTTTTTACCATAGCATTTAAGCTCATCTTTGTAATTCTCACAAATTTCTTGGACTTCTGGTCCTAATATTAAGTTTATGGCTCTACTAAAGCTTCCTGATGATGGTTTTAATCCTTGTGGCATAACATTATATACATATGACTTTCCGTTGAATGTGAATCCTGTGTATTTTCTACCATATTTATTTATTGGAATTTGAAAATATGAATTATTGAAAAAAATGGTAGTAATATAATTCGCTCCATGAAAGGAATTTTAAACATCTAATTGTATATATTGGCTTCTCTGTTTCTACAATCATTTTCTTATTTATGCTTTTGGCATCTAATAAGACTCTAATTGAGCCATCTTTTTTAAGCGTGAATGTTAATGGTCTACTGAAAGGCATTGATGCCCTTGTGATGAAACCATCTTGTTCCACCTCATTTAATTGCTCTTCCATTTTCAATCTATATGCACATGGAATCGGATAAAGTCTAGTAACTAAAGGTTCATCATCGATCATTTCAATTTTATGTTCAGAGCAATTCGTTCTACCTAATTCACTCGAAAACTTATACTTTTACAAGACCTAACTTAGCTTAGCTTTTTCAAAGATCTCCAATTTTGATCCTATATTTATACATATATGTTACAGCATCATTATATATGTTATATAATACAGAATTATATTGTATTAAAAAGGTATGAAGTTGTTTTTATTTTTCATTTTAAATTCTATACTAATGACCGTATTCACTTTCTTTTTTATTTAAAATTAGGCATTAACTTCCTAATCTTAACGGCCTTATAGTCATCGTTATCGTCGTCATCATCGTCGTCGTATATAAGTTTAAATAGTGTAATTAATTGCCCTCCGTATTTTAAAATAATTTTCGTAGTAAATTTTCATATAATTAGTTTTCTTACAACCGCATTTTCGTAGAATTTTTAAACTTTTAAAAATATTCGATTTCTCCTATCCCTTTAGCCTTATGCTACCGCTACCCGCTTTCAAACTTGATAGATAAAACACACGGAACTCGAAAAATCGCTACTTACCTAAACCAAGCCGTAAATACAGAAATAAAAACCCTAATTCATTCATAACTTGACTCAAAATTGGTCTCTTCTGTTTAATTTTTTTGTTATAGAATGTAATTAGTTGCCCCCGTATTGTAAAATAGTTTTCGCGGTAAATTTTCACTGTTAAATAACCAATTTTCATACAATTCGTTTTCTTATAGTCGTATTTTCATAGAATTTTCAAACTTTTTAAAATATTCGATTTCTCCGCTCCTTTTAGGCTTATAAGGTCCGATCCATGCAGAAACTGCCATCTGCACTCAAATTTGGCAGTGAAGCACACGAAACTCAAAAACTCAAGAAATAAGAAATAAAAACAAAATTCATCCATAACTTGTCTGAAAATTGGTCTATTCTGTTTAAATTTTCTTGTTATAGGGTGTTATAAATTGCCCCCTATATAAGCAATAGTTTTCGAAGTAATTTTTTTCCGTTAAATAACTAATTTTCATATAATTCGTTTTCTTATAATCGTATTTTCATAGAATTTTTAAACTTTTAAAAATTTTCGATTCCCTTGTTCTTTTTACGCGAATAAGGTCCGTTCCTTGTAGAAACTGCCACCCTCAACTGTACACTCAAGTTTGATAAAAAAAACTACACGAAACTCGAAAATTCGCTACTTACCTAAAACCAGCCGTAAATTCAGAAATAAAAACACAAATTCATTCATAACTTGACTTAAAATTGTCTTTTCTGTACAAATTTTCTTGTTATATAGTGTAAATTATTGCCTTCCGTATTTTACAATAGTTTGCGTAGTAAATTTTTACCGTGAAATAACTAATTTTCACATAATTCGTTTTATTATAATAGTATTATCATAGAATTTTTTAAAACTTTTTAAAATCTTCGATTTCTCCGCTCCCTTAAGGCTTAAACGGTCCGTGTCGTGTAGAAACTTCCACCTTATTTCAAATTTGATAGATAAAACACACGTAACTCGAAAAATCACTACTTACCTAAACCGAGCCGTAAATTCAGAAATAAAAACACAAATTCATCTATAATTTGACCGAAAATTGGTCTTTCTGTTTAAATTTTCCTGTTATATAGTGTAATTAAATGCTTCCCGTATTTAACAATAGTTCTCGTAGTGAATTTTTACCATTACATAACTAATTTTCATCTAATTCGTTTTCTTATAATCTTCATAGAATCTTATTTTCTTCTTCATCTTATAATATTATTTTCATAGAATTTTTAAACTTTTTAAAATCTTCGATTTATTCGCTCCTTTAAGGCTTATAAGGTCCGTATCGTGTAGAAACTTCCATCTATACTCAAATTTGACAGATAAAACATACGGAATTTGAAAAATCACTATTTACCTAAACCGAGCCGTAAATTCTGAAATAAAAACACAAATTCATCCATAATTTGACAGAAAATTGTCTTTTCTGCTTAAATTTTCCTGCTGTATAGTGTAATTAATTGCTTCCCGTATTAGCAATAGTTTTCGAAGTAAATTTTTAGCGTTAAATAACTAATTTTCATATAATTCGTTTTCTTATAATCGTATTTTCATAGAATTTTTAAACTTTTTAAAATCTTCGATTCCCTTGCTCTTTTTACGCTTATAAGGTCGGTATCGTGTAGAAACTGCCATCTTCGCTCAAATATTATGATAGATGAAACAAACTAAACTCGAAAAATCGCTACTTACTGAAACCGAGCCGTAAATTCAGAAATAAAAAAACAAATTCATCCATAATTTGATAGAAAATTGGACTTTTCCGTTTAAGTTTTCTTGTTATAGGGTGAACCTAATTGTCCCTCGTATCAAAAATAGTTTTTGCATTAAATTTTAACCGTTAAATAACTAATTTTCATATAATTCGTTTTCTAATAATCGTATTTTCATAGAATTTTTTAAACTTTTTTAGTCCTAGATTCTCTTGCTCTTTTTACGCTAATAAGGTCCGTCACTTATAGAAACTGCCATCTACACTCAAGTTTGATAGATAAAACACACGGAACTCGAAAAATCGCTACTTACCTAAACCGAGCCGTAAATTCAGAAATAAAAACACAAATTCATCCATAACTTGACTGAAAATTGTCTTTTCTGCTTAATTTTTTTTGTTGTATAATGAAATTAATTGCCGTGCGCATTTAACAATAGTTTTTTGTAGTAAATTTTCACCGTTAAATTACTAATTTTCACATAATTCGTTTCCTTATAATCGTATTTCCATAGAATTTTTAAGCTTTTAAAAATCTTCGATTTCTCCGCTCCCCTTTAGGCTTATAACATCCGTATCGTGTAGAAACTTCCATCTACACTCAAATTTGATAGATAAAAAAAACGTAACTCGAAACATCATTACTTTCCTAATTATATTAATTAATTACCTAAACCGAGCCGTAAATTCAGAAATAAAAACACAAATTCATCCATAATTTGACCGAAAATTGGTCTTTCTGTTTAAATTTTCCTGTTATATAGTGTAATTAAATGCTTCCCGTATTTAACAATAGTTCTAGTAGTGAATTTTTACCATTACATAACTAATTTTCATCTAATTCGTTTTCTTATAATCTTCATAGAATCTTATTTTCTTCTTCATCTTATAATCTTATTTTCATAGAAGTTTTAAACTCTTTAACATCTTCGATTTATTCGCTCCTTTAAGGCTTATAAAGTCCGTATTGTGTAGAAACTTCCATCTATACTCAAATTTGACAGATAAAACATACGGAATTTGAGAAATCACTATTTACCTAAACCGAGCCGTAAATTCTGAAATAAAAACACAAATTCATCCATAATTTGACAGAAAATTGTCTTTTCTGCTTAAATTTTCCTGCTGTATAGTGTAATTAATTGCTTCCCGTATTAGCAATAGTTTTCGAAGTAAATTTTTAGCGTTAAATTACTAATTTTCATATAATTCGTTTTCTTATAATCGTATTTTCATAGAATTTTTAAACTTTTTAAAATCTTCGATTCCCTTGCTCTTTTTACGCTTATAAGGTCGGTATCGTGTAGAAACTGCCATCTTCGCTCAAATATTATGATAGATGAAACAAACTAAACTCGAAAAATCGCTACTTACTGAAACCGAGCCGTAAATTCAGAAATAAAAAAACAAATTCATCCATACTTTGATAGAAAATTGGACTTTTCTGTTTAAGTTTTCTTGTTATAGGGTGAACCTAATTGCCCCTCGTATCAAAAATAGTTTTTGCATTAAATTTTAACCGTTAAATAACTAATTTTCATATAATTCGTTTTCTAATAATCGTATTTTCATAGAATTTTTAAACTTTTTAGTCCTAGATTCTCTTGCTCTTTTTACGCTAATAAGTTCCGTCACATAGAAACTGCCATCTACACTCAAGTTTGATAGATAAAACACACAGAACTCGAAAAATCGCTACTTACCTAAACCAAGCCGTAAATTCAGAAATAAAAACACAAATTCATCCATAACTTGACTGAAAATTGTCTTTTCTGCTTAATTTTTTTTGTTGTATTATGAAATTAATTGCCGTGCGCATTTAACAATAGTTTTTGTAGTAAATTTTCACCGTTAAATTACTAATTTTCACATAATTCGTTTCCTTATAATCGTATTTTCATAGAATTTTTAAGCTTTTAAAAATCTTCAATTTCTCCGCTCCCTTTAGGCTTATAACATCCGTATCGTGTAGAAACTTCCATCTACACTCAAATTTGATAGATAAAAAAAACGTAACTCGAAACATCATTACTTTCCTAATTATATTAATTAATTACCTAAACCGAGCCGTAAATTC